TTTTTTTTACACCCGGGAATGTCTTCATAAGCATCCTAAGTAATAAGGCAATATGATGGTACTAGCTTTTTTGAATATATTATCAATTTGAGTGTCATATTCCATCAATCCGTTGCTATTGCAGTGTCTTTAAATGTTTTATGAACAATTCTATTATATGTTCTTAAAACTTTAAATGATGTCACTCGTTTTACTATATTTAATATTCATTTTAAACAGAAACGTTCATCGCCTTTTGGGGAAGCAATATTTTATCTTCTAATAGCAGTATTCAATAAAATTAAGTAGTATGATGTGATTTCCAACATAAATCAAAGTCGTTTGGGGGGTTGGCACGCAGAGCGCGCAGAGGGTGAAGTCTACCAGTATATATATAGTGGATCTACAGATATATAGCTCCACCATCCGGCACGCTCCGTGCTCTAAGCTCTCATTTGCAGTATTTAAAATTGATAGAAATATGGAAGTTTCTCATTTTTAAAGAAAACTTTTTTTTCAATCATTTAACGAAAATTAACTTCATCAAAAATTTTACTAATAACAATAAGAGTAAAAAGACCATTTACTAAAACTAATAATAATAGGCAAATATATACTAATACTAATTTAACCCAATGAAAAAAGTGAAGTTATTGAACAGTGGAGGTGAGGTGTAGACAAATATAAAAATAACAGGTATCTAACAAAAATTCTAATTTTTTAAATGAAGGGCAGTGAGGATAAGCCCTTCCTGATCTTATCATGAAGTTATCTCACAAAAATACTAAGTTAGCGTCAAAAAACATTATAATTATATCATTTTCTGGAAATATTTAAAGTTTTTGTAGGGAGATAATAGGAGGTGTGGGGCCTCTAATTTTTTGAGGAGGCCTCAAGGGACGTGGGGGGTTTTACACATTTTTGTAAGATTAAATTAACAGAGAAATATAGAAAATATTTCCACGTTTTTGTGGGGGGACTGCGAGAGGACCAAAGAGGGATGTTTGGGAGACCCACCAAAATAACTATATAAGAACATATATATATATACGGAATATGTTACATCACTGATTCCAAATTTCTACATTACTAACAGTAATAGGTGTTTTGAATTGGAAATACTTAATGTTAACAATTTCTTAAGGACCTATTTTATATGTTTTTGAATAAAGAATCAATTTGTATTTTATTGTTAATATTAGTTTTTGTTTCATCAAAAGTTAGGTACAGAAAAGTCAAATTGTTTTGTAGTTTTGAAGGGACATTGGCGATGACTACATTGTTTATTCTTATGTTATTGAAATGTATAAATTGCAGCATTACATATAGTTATAAAATGTCAAATAAGACACGTTTTTACAAATTTTAAAAAACTTATATGATTATAGTTATTACAAATAAGTCGACGCACTAGAAACTGTGTAATTGAAAATAGCGTAACACTGATTTTCAAAATAATTAACAGGGTTAACGAACTTCGTGTATTTATTTACAAAATAGTAGTTTTCGTCGGANATACTAGTGCAATATTATCTTACGATTAGAAATATTAGTTAAACACTTACTTTTAATTGTGTACATGCAAAAAAACTACACGCAGCTTGGCTGCAAAGTAAACTACTATAACTATGTAACTAATTTACCATCTGGATTAAGTAGATAATCTATGAATAACTTATTACTCTGAGATCACTTTTATTGCAGTTTATTGCGAAATTCTTTTCTCACGCTGTTTATCTCTTCCGAAATGTAATGAGTCAGTCGCGTAACATTCTGTTTAAGAGACTCCTTACCTATACCAGGTTTCTCCTTTTTTACGTAGTATTCCAGACACACTAAAATGCAAACAAAAAAGAGATACTTCTTCTTTACATTATCAAATACATACAGAAATAGTCTAGTTGAAATTACAAGTTCTGTTTCTTTCGAATGATTTTTAAAAATATTATAAATGATGCTTTGACTACACGATAGACTTATCCCATCAAGCTTATACTAATTTAATAAGATTACAAAAGAAAATAAGTAATGGACTATAAAAATTACAAAACCAATCATTGGTAGCTAGATAGAGCTTAGGGAACTAATAATTTAAAAACGCGTACTCATTATAGAAAATGTCTTTTTTTTTAAATAACTTAATAGCACGGTCTACGCAATGTTTATTATAATATTCGTCAGCAGTTACTTACTTTCCATTATGTCCATTTTCTTTGGAGAAATGCATACTCTTGGATTTTTTCCATTAGGTGTTTTTACATTCTCACCAGGCTTTACACACCTTTTAATAAGGTCTTGAGGGCTGTAAAAATATCGAAGAATTGCTTTTGAAAACGTACTACCCTTCTTATTTTTTAGTAATATGATCCAGTCGTCATTTTTTATCCAAATTCCATGTTTCATGTACACCAGCTGTTAAAAAAGGTCATTTTTTATTAAAGATGCAATTGCAAAAAAATTATCGTGATTTAAAGATATTTAAAATACTTTTCGAATTACATTAGAGACAATTTTTTTCGGCTAGTTTTGTTTGTTTTTTATTTTTGGCTTAGGCTAAATTATAATGTGCCACTGCAGTTATAAAAACAGCAATTGTATTTTTTTCAAAAATGCTGATACACTTTTCTTAACCAATACGATTTTACAAAATAGTATGTGTTTTAAGGGCGTTAACGGGGCAGAAAGTTCAGAGAGGTAAGAAGAGCGCAAACATGCAGATACGCTTGCAATTGTTTTCTTCGCAACACACATTTACGCATACTCGATCCCTTCTTTCTTATTTTAGTAAAAGACCAACTCATGGATCCATGTGAAAATTTAATATAATATCTTTCTGATGGCATTTCATCAAATAAAAAAAGTTGGGAAAACTATACAGACCTCTTCCTAATGAATATAATTTTACGTGATTCTTTAATAACCTTATATGCTCATTTAAAATGAAATAACACAAGCGCCTATCACCTAATGACACGTGGCACTTACTCGCCACTCTTTCAAATAAATAATTAATGATTAATAACACAAGCGCCTATCACCGCATAAGCCAGGGTAATTACTGACCACTCTGTTAAATAAATAAAAATTATTAACACAAGCGCATATCACCTAATGACCCAAAGCGCTTACTGGCAACTCTTTGACATAAATAATTGTTAATAAATAACACAAGCACCTATCGACTAATGACCCAGAGCGCTTGCTAGCCACTCTTTTAAATAAGTAATTATTAATAAATAACACAAGCACCTACAACCTAATGACGCAGGGCACTTACTGGCCACTCTGTTGAAAAAATAATTATTAATGAATAACAAAAGCACCTATTACTTAATGACCCAGGGCACTTACGGGACACTGTTAAATAAATAATTAATAGATAACACAAGCGCCTATCTCCTAATGACCCGGAGCGCTTACTGGCCACTCTTTTAAATAAATAATATTAAATGATTCAAGCGCCTATCGACTGATGACCCGAAGCTTACTGGCCAATTCGTTTAGTAAATAATTATTATTAAATAACACAAGCATTTATCACCTTACGATACAGGCCATTACTGGCCACTCTTTTAAATAAATAAGTAATAATAAATAACACAAGTGCCTATCACCTAATGACCCGTGGCGCTTACTAGCCACTCTTTTAAATCAATAAAGATTAATTTATAACACACGCGCCTACTTCCTAATGACCCGGGGCGCTTACAAGCCACTCTATTAAATAAATAATTATTGATAACACAAGCGCATATCACCTAATGACCCAAAGCGCTTACTGGCAACTTTTTGACATAAATAATTGTTAATAAATAACACAAGCACCTACAACCTAATGACGCGGGGCACTTACTGGCCACTCTGTTGAATTAATAGTTATTAATAAATAACAAAAGCGCCTGTTACTAAATGACCCAGGGCACTTACTGGCCACTTTGTTAAATGAATAATTAATAGATAACACAAGTGCCTATCACCTAAGGACCCGTGGCGCTTACTGGCCACTCTTGAAAATAAATATTAATTAATAAACAACACAAGCACCTATCCCTCAATGACCTATTGCGTTTACTGGCAACACTTTTAAATAAATAATGATTAATAAATAACACAAGCGCCATTTATCTAATGACCAAGGGCGCTTACTGGCCACTTTTTTAAAAAATAATTAATAATAACACAAGCTCTTAAAACCTAATAACCTGGGGCGCTTACTGGTCACTCTGTGAAATAAATAACTAATAATAAATAACACAAGCAACTATCACCTGATTACCTGGGGCGCTTACTAGCAACTTTTTTATATAAATAATATTAAATAATACGAGCGCCCATCACCTAATAACCTGAGGCGCTTACAAGTCACTCTTTTAACTGAATAATTATTAATAAAAAACACAAGCGCCTATCATCTGCTGACATAAGGCGCTTACTGGCTTCTCTGTTAAATGAATAATTTTTAATAATACGAGCGCCTATTACTAAG